ATGGTGCTCTTTCAGCCTTATTCAAGTTCTTTTTAATCTCCTTATTTCAAAAAATGCTTTAAAAAGTGTGTGTGTGTGTGTGTGTGTGTGTGTGGGGGGGGGGGGGGGGGGAGAAAGCTTCCAACAATCATGTGGATCAGCTGTGAGTTGCGCAATCTTTGGAAGCTTTCCCCCCTACTTTTTAAAGCAATTTTTCCCTGTCTATTCGCCCAAGCCAGCTGGAAAAAAATGCTTTAAAAAGTGTGTGTGTGTGTGTGTGTGTGTGGGGGGGGGGGGGGAGAAAGCTTCCAACAATCATGTGGATCAGCTGTGAGTTGCGCAATCTTTGGAAGCTTTCCCCCCTACTTTTTAAAGCAATTTTTCCCTGTCTATTCGCCCAAGCCAGCTGGAAAAAAATGCTTTAAAAAGTGTGTGTGTGTGTGTGTGTGTGTGGGGGGGGGGGCGGAGAAAGCTTCCAACAATCATGTGGATCAGCTGTGAGTTGCGCAATCTTTGGAAGCTTTCCCCCCTACTTTTTAAAGCAATTTTTCCCTGTCTATTCGCCCAAGCCAGCTGGAAAAAAATGCTTTAAAAAGTGTGTGTGTGTGTGTGTGTGTGTGGGGGGGGGGGGGGAGAAAGCTTCCAACAATCATGTGGATCAGCTGTGAGTTGCGCAATCTTTGGAAGCTTTCCCCCCTACTTTTTAAAGCAATTTTTCCCTGTCTATTCGCCCAAGCCAGCTGGAAAAAAATGCTTTAAAAAGGTTCTCACGCATGGCACAACTGAACCTTTTTTTCACTTCTTAAAGCATTTTTTACTACCTATTTGCCTGAACCGGTAGTAAAAAACTGCTTTAAAAAGTGAAAAAAAAGAGTTTCTGACGATTGCACAGATCAGCTGTGAGCCGCGCGATCATTGGAAGCTCTCCGCTAAGGAACAGCTAAGGAACAAGGGCCAACTTGGGAGTAAAGGCATAGGTGGGCGATGAATGGCCCCTCCCAGGTGAAATAAAAGAGGAGCAAAAGAGGAGTGGACTTTGTAGGAGACAATTAGTTCACTTAATTGGTTCGTGACTCTCCGAGACTCCTTGCCAGGTTTTGCAGAAATCGGCCTGGCAGCTCTCCAAGCCAGATAAGGTCTGTGACCGTAAATCCTCCCTTGAAAGACTTTGCTGACTGTGAATGCGCAGAATTCACAGTCGATTAATAAAAGGGACTTTTGTCGGGACCAGAAATTTGCTTCAGGCTCTCGGGAAGCCTCAATCAGAACACATATCTCTTCAAAGGAGACAGGAAGGGAAGGAAGGAAGTAGAATACACAGAAATATGGGGAGAAGGATGGAAGGCTAAAGCAGAGGGAAGCAGGACAGACACAAAAGAAAGTTGTATATGATGCCAAGAAAACAAGGAATGTGTTTGTTGTAAATTGGGATTCAGTCAATCCTGGCCTAAAAACTGAAAGAATATATCTTTGGATAAGAACTTCTGAAGAGCAATGAATAACAATGAGCATTTGTTTGCACCCATGGAATTAAAACAACCCTTTACCTGGAAAGCATGGCTAGCATAGCCAAGATTTAGCTGGCGACAAACCACCATGGCGTCCATTATATCCCATCCTTCACCGCAGATGGATCCCCATATGAGTGTGCCGTTGTGTTCCTGGAGAATTTCCACAATGCCTTCGTTGTGGGTGCGGCCGCCACTCAAGCGTATCTGCAGAGGACAATTGACAGCTATGAAGGTTATGGTGATTGCCACACTCCAATTTCATCCCCCAAAAGAGACAGAAAGTTGCTGGCAGAATTCTCGGGCCACCACAGGTGCCCCAAACATGAGAGATGTTGAGGTGGTTATGCCCAACTTCTCCATGCCCACCCTAGTTCCCCAAGGTCAAACACAACCCTGATACAGCCCTCAACGAAATCGAGTTTCACATCTGATATTCCTCATATATAAAGGTAAAGTTTCTCCTCACACATATGTGCTAGTCATTCTCGACTCTAGGGGGCAGTGCTCATCGCTGTTTCAAAACTGAAGAGCCAATGCTGCCCAAAGACGTCTTTGTGGTCATGTGGTTGCCATGACTAAACACCGAAGGTGCATGGAATGCTGTTACCTTCCCACCAAAGGTGGTTTCTGTTTTTCTACTTGCATTTTTATATGCTTTTGAACTGCTAGGTTGGCAGAAGCTGGGACAAATAACGGGAGCTCACTCCATTATGCGGCACTAGGGATTTGAACCACCAAACTGCTGACCTTTAGGATCAACAAGCTCAGTGTCTTAGCCACTGAGCCACCACATCCTCAGATGTACTGAATTATAATTCAATGTCCCTAAGCTACTAGGATAGGATGTGAACTGTAGTCCATCAAGAAGCCATCAAGTTGTGGTTGGGGGTCTCAAACTGAGGTTACATGGCCTCAAACCATGTAACAATTAATGTAATTAATTAATTTATTAATAATATAATAATGTAATTTATTTATTTAATGTAATTAATTAAAAACATGTAACAATTAAGAAATGCCTGAGCAGAAACTCAAAGTGATATTTAAGGCAGATTAATTGTTTTAATGACGGTGTTAGGAAGAAGCTTGGTAAAAACTAGGAAGCGAATTATTTGGAGAAAAGCTAGGATGTTTCTCAAATTATGTTGCGTTCATGGATTTTAAGAGAACCCAGATGTTAAACTGAATGGAACACATGGAGTTTGGCCATGTCCTGGGATGTAAATCTTACAAATTCCCTGAGCTGCCTGCCAGGATGGACTCTGAGCCAGCAGTCTGAAGATGACCTCAATATGGAGGGTTGAGGAAAAGGGCCTCCTGTTTCAAAACCAAATTCAGTAAACATTTTAAGAAGTATCCAAAAAGTCTGATTCATGTGAGCCTTTTCAGGTCACAGCAGCTATTTGAGGAGCTTGCTTGTGTTTTTGGTCCTCTAACATCTGTTTGTGTGCTGCACTTTATACGGTTTTAGCTCTGTTTGCACATGGGTTTACAAATATTACAATGTGCTCAAAGTTGAATTTGACCCCAGGGGTTAGGAGCTGATGTCACAAGCAGTGATCACGCTACCAAGACATAAAAACAAGCCACATCAAAAGACCTTAGCTCTGTTGCTCTGTTTAATGGTAAGGCCAGCCTTACGTGAAGACCACCGCTACTTCTACTATCACTGCTACTATAGCAATTAACTCCCCTCGTTGTCTACGGCAGAGATGTCAAACTCAATTCCATTGAGGGCCGCATCAGGGCTGTGGTTGCTGTTGGGGGGAGATCAGTGGTGGGTTCCAGCCAGTATGGCCCGGTACGGTCGTACTGTTAGTAGTCGGGAGCAGTGGCCACTGTACCAGTATGTTGGCTCATTTGGCCCACCCACCCACATTCCATACCTGTTTTTGAAGCAACCGGGCCAATTGTGCATGCACGCACATTGTGCGGCACCTGCATGACCCCCGATGAGCAGCTGGGTGTCGCAAGGGCGGTGGAGTGTGCATGCACAGTGCACATCAGGCGCGTGCACAAACAGACCATGAGCAGCTTACTGGTAGCGACGGTAAGAGCAACCCACCACTGGGCCAGATGGACATGGCCAACTGGATAGGCGTGGCCAGTTTGACGCCACTCATTGGGAGTGGCCAACTGAGTGGGTGTGGCCAGTTGGGTAGACTGGGCCGAAACTAAGCTGGCTCGATATTTCCTCTTTGTACTGGGTAGACCAGGCCGAAGCAATGCAGGTAGACTAGGCTGAAGTAATGTGGGCTGGCTCCTTACATTTTCCAGTACAGCCCTGGGCGGATCTGATCACATATGGCCTTGAGTTTGACACGCCTGGTCTACGAAGAATCTATGCGGCCCTACAGAGCTCTGTTTTTGCAGTCAGAGGGTTGCAGGAGGCTGTCACAGCCAAAAATGGAGCGCGGGAGCCCATTTTCACTGGCAGAGCGCTTGGGTGCCCCCAACATGAGTATCATTGAGCCGGCCACGCCCACCTCAGCCATACACCCTTGCCCCCCCCCAAGATCAAACACAACCCTGATTCAGCCCTCAATGAAATCAAGGTGACACCCCTGATCTAAGTTATAGCTGTCGCAAAGAAGATTTTTCTAACAGGCCACCGGATTTTCTTATTTTTTTTCTTTGAAAACAGAAACTTCTCCTCCTCCAAGAAGCTTCTTCAGTTCAGAACTGAACTGAAGAAGTTCTCCAGAATTTTTTTTTAATTATTAAAAATAGTTTTTATTAAACATTATTACCTTTAAAAACAGAAAGAAAAATACAACAACATAAGAAAAGACAAAACATACATAACAATATAAAGTAAATATACAGCCTTTTGTATCGGCATTCATTAGTTATACATTTTTTTAAAGCGTAAAA